TTCTCACACTCTCGATACCATTCGCATTCTCTTGTTGGCTTGATTTGTGACTTTTGTGCACAATTTCATTTCATTTTCCGACTTTCGATTCAACGATATTGTTAGACAAGTGTTTCTCCGACCATTGTATATCTCGCCAGAATGCAAAGAATAAACGAAGCTTATTTTATGTTGAAACTTTTGACACAGCACAAAATCACATTTTCATACATTTTTTTCTCTTTTTTCTATACTCTTGTTTATCTTCATGTGGTGTTCAGATAAGAAACATTTCCAGTGTGCTATAATTTGTGAGCGGTAGATCTTTTGTTGCTTTATTCGGGTATTGAATTGAAAAATCAACGCGAACATAATTCGATTTACTTCATTTTTGTTTTGACTGAAACCGAACAAGAGAGCCAAACCAAGAAGCAGTATGTAATAATATTATAACGATGACAACGAATGAATCGCATTCGAAATAAGAGAAAGAAAATGAATATAATTTGATTTATGATAATCTTACCTAAAAAAAGTTAATCACAAAAGCTCGTACGTGCAATGCGGATGAATGTATCCCAATTCCAGTGTTGTGGGTTTTTCGCGCTATTCGGAGAGATTTTTTCTTTTGTCTTTTCGCTATCAGCTGACTGACGCGCTTCTACCGACGTGCTAAGTTTTTTGTTCAGTAATATACGATGCACACTCTCTGAAATAGCTTCTTTTCTGATTTGATGCTCTTGCGTGGTTACCAGCTACAGCAACAAAGCTATATCGTTCACAGACAGAGTGATATTCTCGGTTTCCTTTTTTCTCTCGTTCTTCACAATTGATTACACTTTCGACTTCCTTCTTGCGAGTTTTTTCACTCTCTCTTCACGTGCATCAAAAGCTTTCAATAAGAAATGGCGAAAGAAGCTCTTTCGACTTTCGGAAAATCGTGCTATTACTTTTTTTCCTCTCCACTCTTATTTCTTTGGATTAATGTACACCAAACGAAATCACTTTGTACAAGTGAAGGACTATTCTTACGAAAAAATATACATATGATTATTCTTTTGCTACTTCACTCTTTTAACATTGTTTTCATTTTCTTTTGTCCACAAGTTGTTCACACAATTACACAGAATACTACTCGTCAAAAATAGAGTTTTTTTTTGTTTCTTTCATTCGAGCGTTGAAAATTCACAAGCTTAATTATATTCACGTTTTTTGTTTGTTGTCGATGGTGCGTTAAAAACAGGTTGTCATGCCAGAATTGACTTCCTTTCTTCGATTGTAATCGATTATATCATTTGTTGGAGGGGGAGAAATTGACTTTTTGTTTTGAAGAAACTATCCCGCTTTCGAATTTCAATCGATATTTTGACGGTGTTTGAGTTTCCTTTTTTCGGCGTATACGATATTGGTTTTGCTCTTTTCTGTGTTGCGCTAACGTTTGCCTCAGTGACGTTTACGCTTTTTCAACTTTTTTGATAATCATACACAAAAGACAACAACACACGAATACAAACTAATCCGTGAACGAAACTGATTTTTTTTATTTCGTTTCAGATACGAAAAAGTTGTTATCAATAGAAGCGATAAGTTGAAATATCGCCGAATAAATGTTGATACGATGTGTGCCTCGTTACTGATGATAATGATGTAAATAAAAAAGAGAGAGCGAGAAACTTGCCGGAAAAGAGCGAAAATGAATTTTGTTGCCCGTGGCCAGCAACTTTATTAATGCAAGTGTAAAACTAATGAATTCATTCAGCCATATTCATATAATCTCTTTCACGCTGGTTTTTATTTCAGCGGCCGCTTTTTTTACATTTACTCTTGATTGCAGCCGTGCCAATGCGTATAGCAGGGAAAAAATTAATTTCACTTTCTTCCTCGGATGGGATGCATAAACAATTTTGACGGTGAATGAAGAAGCGTTGTGATAAACCAAATTACAAAATCCGACACAAGTTTTTCAAGCAAAACGCGCTATAACTTTTTCTTCACATTCATAAAACCGCTTTTTGCGTTATAGTGTCAGTACTTCTTATCTCTGGAGAACTATATTTGATTTTTTGTTGGAAATTTTTATATATTTTTTTAAATCTTTCTTTCTTCGCTTTGAAACAATTTATTCAAAAGTTTAAACGTTGGTTGTAGCTCACACTAGTTCTTTCTCTTTCTCTGTTATTGATGCAATTTAAAATTCACTTTGTCAAGCAAATTGAAATTTTAGTTTTAGCGCCGCGCTCTCCGTTCGCATCTCTATCGCTCTTACAAACAAAGCAAGAGATAAAGTTTTATGGGCAAAAAAATACTGTGTTTTCGACCGCAAATTATTAAGTTTTGTTTAATCAGATTCACTTTGTACACATGCACACTTTGTGTTCTTTCTCTTCTGCTTTGTCGTCGTTTGTTTATTTATTCGATTTGGTCAAAACGAAGTACACACATCGAAGATGAAAAATTATCACATACACACAAGAATTTCATTTCGGTGTTCAAATGACAGCACATTCAATAAAACTGTTTTATTATTATTTTTATTTGTCTATTTGATCATTTTTCACAGTAATATCACACAAAATCGACAAAGTCAAAAGTTAAAACCCATTTAGTCGGTCGCAACACCGTTGTCGTCAATTCAAACGGCACACAAAATCAGTACCTGATTGTTTTGCATCGAGCGCTAGAACGGTTTTGATCTAAGCACAAACAGTAGCTACAAGCATCACCTAACTTGAACAGGAACACACAAACGAGACAACTCTACATACATGCACAACAATATATCGTTGTGAATAGCACACAGTCACCGCTGTTTGATACGCACCGTTCGGAATACAGTTGTGATTGGCACGAGCGAGACGGAATGGTCGCGCATACAAACGAAACCAAATGATTGTTGAAATGTATGACTGTATGGGTGGGCGCATTTTATGTGATAATTTATGATTGTACAGATACCATGTACATGTGCCAGCGATTTCGGCTCTAGCGGCATCGGCTTCGCAATCATATGTTCGTGATGATGAAAAGCTTTACCGTTAAAATAATAATAACAGTCGTCAAATTTTCATAAACAAATTATCTCTATTCGTTTTGACTCACATTTTAGATTTATTGTTTATTTTTTTCAAAAAGATATTAACTCGTTTCTATCCTAGATAGTGCTTTCATTTTGTTTCCGAATTCATTTTTTTTTATTTTTTGAATGAAAGACGACGGTTCATTGCTTTTCATGTGTTGCGTTGCGCATGTGCCGATTTTTCAGGAAAACTCTGTCATTCAACGGAGCGAACCGAGCAAATTGAGGGGAAATTGACCGAAAAAAAAGAGAGCAAACGAAATTAAAGATGAAGAGAGAGAAGGAGACTTTCTGTTGATTTGTGCAACCGCAAAACGTCATGGAACCACAATTAAATTTTCATTTTGTAGATGAATTTCAGCTATTTCTATATTTATTCCACATTTTCAATTTTTCGATATTATTTTTAGTTTTCAACTTCTACCACATTTTTTTCTTTTTTGTCTCTTGAATTTTTTTCACCACACACCACTTTATACGGCCGCAACATTCTTTCTATCTGCGAAAAATGGTTGTTTTATTTGTTGTTGCTTTGTGTGATCGTCTAATATGACATTTATGACAATTTGCCAAATACCGTTACGCAAAAACGAACTTATTTTATATGGTTGTCGCACATAAATTTCATGAAAATCTATTTTATCATTTACAAGAGAGAATTGAACGAGAAGCAATGGACAACATTTTGTTTTTATTTGTAAAAATAAAGAGCAAAAAAAAGTGTGTGTAAAAATAAAGAGCAAATTTGTCGCGAATAAATTAATATCTCAAAATTACTGTCGTCAAATTACAAACTAATTTTGAATCGAATACCATTAAATACTGTACCACAAAAAACGCCGTATTCGCAGATGTTCAAAATTATTTTGTTTAATGAATTGAAAGTTCCACGGCAATAATTCATACAGTTAATTCATGTTCATTTGAAATGAAACTACTTTTATCGTCAATTGATAGATTAATAGATTAGTTTGTTGGGAATGTTTGTCAAGCAAAGAACGGTTTTGACATTTTGAACTCATTATTCCGAATGACGTGGGTAAAATTTCTTTCGTTTGACGTATACAACGGTTGCTTGAATGAATGGAAGCGAAAAAAAAACCGTCGCTCGAGAGAAAGTCGAATGTTTTACTTGATATAAATTCTCCGTTTTATGTGATACTCGGAGATAGAAATCAAAGAAACGAGAATCTCGTTAAAAACAAGCAATAATTCTTGTTGCTGAATGGCCACCATTTCTAAATTCATAATTTTTTTTTAATGGCAAAACAGAAATTTCGACAGGAATTCAACGAGAAAAAAAGAGTCACAAATTTCGCGGTTTTAATACCGTTGAGAGGTTTTGAAATAGCCAATAATATTTTACATTTGAAAATCTCTGACGCATTTCTTTTGATAATTCACAGTATGGTTGCGATAGAAACATGGACAAAAATGTCCCCTTCCCAAAAGACACCGTGTTTAACGCCACAATAGATCATTTGAATAAACGAAACAATATTGACGAATTTTGCTATTAGTTATCAAATTATCCAATTGTAACAAACCGATTCATACGTACAAATAATTGAGCATTGTAAGTGTAGTGCTCAAAAAGAATATTTTCAATGTGTTTCTTTTTGCTCTTTTCAAATCAAACAAAGTGTTTTGTAATTGCAAAACACATACACTCGCGCACACGTGAATGTGTAAACATTTGAGTTAAATTGACTGTTTGACACATGTGTTTTGATGAATTCATAGTAAACAAACGTTGTTTCTTTCATTTTTGAAAAGGCAGTTGTCAAGCCCGTTGATAGAATAAACAAAACTGTGACTACGGATACAAAATTGGCAATTACCTAGCAACCACATAATAATTACTCTTTTGTAAATGAAATTGTTTGAAAAGAGAAACAAAATCTATTTTGTTGTTATTAGTTTGTACTCTTGCGTCAAAAACAACAAATCGCTTTGAAAAATGAGTTCATCAACCGAAATTGAAAGGAATTTGGAATTAGAAATTCTTTGCAAAAACATTCAATGTGCTGATAAATCAAAACGACAAGCAGCATTGAATGAACTCTTACAAAGCGTTTCAAAACAATCGACTGACGAGGATTTAAAGAACTTACTTGATCTAACCTATTTGCATTTGGTGAAGTGCTACACTGATAAATTCGAAGCGATACGTTCGCTTGCCATCTCGATTGTGAATGAATTTTTAAAATGTTTTCAAACACGAAATGAATTCTTTTTGGATTACATTATACCAACGATGAGACGACGCATCGGTTTACCGGAGATGGTTGAAGAAAGTGAAGAGATTCAATTGGAATTACTGACACAACTTGGGCACATCGTTGAAAAATTTCAATCGAATGACACGGACACGTTGATGAGAATTTATAATGATATAATGGATATTTTGGTGAGAAATTTAACGAATCGCTATGCCAATGCACATCGGGAATGTTGCAAAGCTATTCAATTGTTGGCCACAGCAACACCAAGTTTTTATATGCGTGCAGAAAGTTTAGTGGATCCATTGACCGAACTGTTGTGTCATCGACAGTCAGCCACACGGACGATTGCTGTGGAAACGTTGGGTAAGTTTGAAAGGCACATTTTTTCGAGTTTTTTTTTGCACTCACAGTTGATGAGAGTTCATTTAGGTTTGTGATTTTTTGCAAAGGAATTTCAGTTTTATTATGATGTTAACGGCTTTTCATTTTTCTGTTTTTTTTTTTGCCTTTTCGCTAATTTTATACTCCATTCTTTCTCGTATTAAAGGTGTTGTTTGCTTGTACATCACCAATAAAAACGATAAAATTGTGAAGAGCATCGTTTCGATTTCACCGTTATTAACTGATTCAGTGGCCGCTGTCCGGCGCATGTGCGGAATTATTGGCTGTAAATGGCTGATTGAACTTCGTGATCGTTACTCATTTTTTGAACGAATTGTTCCATTGGTTTTATGCTGGTAATCTTTTTTTACACAAATTCAAATCTATTCTTTGCTCTTGAAAGAACGGAGCCTTTCTTCTAAAAATGTTTTGTTTTTGTTTGGATGAAAATAATCGATTTTTCTGTATGTTTAGTTTAAAAGACGATTTGGTTGACATTCGCGAAGAGATAAATACTCATTTCATTCGTTGTGGCGAGCAATTTTTCGACGAGAATCAACAGGAACTGCAACGAATTGAGTTGATCGATCATGAATATCCGTGTTCAAACTATGTTGCGTTGGTGACAAAAACGCGTCCAACTCTTGGTTGTCGTGCACTGGTTGAAAAGAGTCTTCGAATGATCAATATCATTGTGAAGGAAATGCTTGATTGGAAAGAGCCCGTTCGTTTGCATTCATTAAAATTACTTTGGGAAGTGGTGCTATTCGCCGAAAAAGCCTTTACATGTAAATTCATCGAAGTGTTTCCCGCCTTGGCGAAAGCATGTCAAGACGATGAAAATAGTGTGGTTAAAGAAGCAAAACGTGTGGCATTTTTAATGGGACAATTATTGAACTACAACGATTGGATGGAAATTACAATGAGAGATCTAAAAAAATTCCCAAATTGCTTGGGAATTTTACGATGTTTCAATTCACTATTTGCTGGCGCAGAAATTGAACATAAACGAAATAGCGTTGAAGAAATCGCTAAACTTATTTCTACATCGGAAATGTGTCATAATCTCAATGAGGGCTATCAAAGTGCTTTGCTGGATCTCATTGAACAAATGGTTAACATTCATTTGACGAAGATTGAAAACGAGTCGGGCGAGGAAAAGTACCTATTTGAAATATTGGTGAAAACAATCGCTTTGTCAAATGCACATGAAAATAACGAGATTGCCACACGCGGCTTGAGTTTGTACGAAACGTTCTGTAAGACACCAGAAAATCGAGTATTCTTACAAGGAATGCACATGACCGATGTTATAAATGACATTGAAGATCTTGATTGTGAACACTCCGAGAGATCAGAACGGATTATAATGCTCTTTGGATGCATCAAACTGTGCGGCTTTCAAAAAGAATACTTTTCTTCCATACAAACTGCCGTTAAACTGGTTTTAGAAAACAGTACAGCGAATGCACAAATCAAAATTCTTTCGGGCCTGTCGATGGTAATATTTTAATGATTTTAAATGACAACAGAAAAAATTCAAAAATTCAATATTTTTAGGCATTTTTAAATTGGAACCACGAGAATATGCAAGGCAGCGCCATGAATTTGCTAAGCATATTTATAGAAGACATTTTGGAACCAGTGCTGATTTGGAAGGCTGGACGTAATGCCGAATCTATTCGTGCCATGGCCACGCAAGCACTTTGCTCAATCGGATGCTCTTGTCCAGATGAAGCGCGTGAAATATTCCCGAAATTGTCAAAAAATTTAATTTCATTGATTGAAGATGAATTGGCGGTAACAAGGGCATATGCGATTCGTTGCGTTTTGAAAGCTGGACCTTTTTTATATGAAGATTACCGACATTTAGTTACAGGTAAGACGAAAGCAATCGATTCAATTAGTAATTCATAGTTGAAAAGGGAGTATAAGTAGCAAAAGGACGTATCTGTTGGCCAAAATTTATATTTTTGAATCGATTCCAAAAATGCCAATATTTTCAGAAATTCTAAGTCGATTGGACGATCCATGTGCAAATGTTCGATGCCTCGCAATCGAGTGTTTACCACAACTTGAAGTGAATCCCAGCGATGACATGTTTAGCGAAACGGGCTACTCCTCTTTGGTCGAATATATTATCTCTCGCCTGTTCCTATATCTCGATGATCCTTATATCAAAATTCGACCGATTTTATTGGGTAAATTACATTTAATACTCTTTTTTTCATTCATACTCTGTACTTTCGTATCTTTCTTATTTCGTTTTTCCTTTTTTTCCAGATTCACTGGCGAAACTGCAAAAAAAACACCCGGTCGTATTTGAGAATGAAATCAAAAAATTGCCGACAAATTATCTGTACAATGATATCATCGAAGATTTGAAAAGTGCACGATTAGAGTAAAAAAAAACATTCACATTGAAAGCACAATCCGGATTACTACTCAAAGAAATATATTGAGAACTGTCCAAGGAAAACAACAAATACGATACAAAAAAAATGTTTATTATCAATTTAACTACACTCCAAACCTGAATGGGTTAAAATATTCACCTCAAAATAAATAGTATTTACCATACACCGAGTGGAAACCACAAAAAGACATTTAAATTTATTCCTATCGTTTTGTTAATTCAACCCATTGGTCTTTTGGTGAGCGAATGGTGCCAGTGATATTTTCAGAGAATTTCACTGGTTTTTCACCGTTTGGTACCCGGACACTAAACGCTTGTAAAAATGCTGTTGTGAATAAAAATAGCATATTCCGTGCAAATGTCTCGCCAGCACATAGCTGTAAGCAAAGAATTTAGATGTATTCTTTTTGTTTTCAAAATAACATTTAAATATCCATACCCGTTTTCCAGCACCAAATGGCAATGAAATATCTTTGCTCAAACATAATTTGCCCGATGCATCTAAAAATCGTTCCGGTCGAAAGTCATTCGGTTGTTCCCATACTGTGTTTTCTTTCATGGCTGTATGCAGAGCGGGCATTATAATTGTTCCCTTTGGAATTGTATATCCTAAAAATTCAGTATCAACAAGAGCTTTGTGGGGCACACCAGTTGGGGCTAACGATTCAAAACGCATTATTTCACGAAGACAAGCTTCTGTGTACGGCATACTATAAATAAAATTCACTTTCAAATTCAAATTACGCAAATAAAATACTTAATACTCACTTTACACGGTCATCCAAAGTGGGAAAACGACCTTGACCCACAACACGATCGATTTCGGATTGAATTTTTCGCTGTAATTCAGGCTCTTGGAAGATTTGTTGAAATAAAAATGTTATCGTCGACGAAATCGTGGTTAGTGTTGGCAAAATTAAATCAATGCACATCAAAATCAATTGACTATCTAACAAATTTAAACAAGAGTTAATGAACAGGCTAAGAAGAAGAAGAAAAAAATTGTGAATTACATGAAAAATGGGTTGTTGGATTTATATTCGGTTCTTGTTTTCGCAATTTATTTATATACATATCAACAAAATGTCGTTCGTGGCTTTCGTCAAACGTCTGAATTTGTTCATTAATAATTTGCTGTATGAAAATAAAATTGGAAATTTTTCAATTTTTTACTAAATTGAGTTGATTTTGCTTACTTCGAAATAGTTGTACAAGTCCATCGAACATTTTCTGCCAATTTTGTAATCGGACCACCCGGGGAAATATTTCGCAAAACTTGGAATTATACTGTACAATTTGCCGTAGATATCGCTTTTACGTTGAAATATGAATGCATTTTCCATCGCTCTATTTGAAGATTTTTTTTTTTGTTGTATTTATTAGAACAAATGTAGCGAATTTTCTGTTTGATGATTTTTTAATATTACCTGTAAAGACCGTCCATACTTTCTCGTGGTATTGTTTCATTATTCAATAAGGTCGCAATAAAACAGTTGCCAAAAACTGGAGAAATTGCATATGGCATTAATATTTTGGAACCACTGACATATTTCTAGTTTTCCAGATAAAAAAAGTACCATTAAAGCGAATAAATTTCAAAGAAATTTTTTTTTAACCTTTTCATGTGGATATTTCGGACCGTTCTGAACGATATCAATGAATTGAGCTATTTGAATTTGAATTTCTTTCTCCAATGAATCGAATCGTCTGCCAAAGCCAAAGTCTCGCAAATGTCGTAGAACAAATCTTCTCTGCTCATACCATATAGCATTTTCGGTGAAAAAAATTCCTGTTTGTAAGAATTCTCTTATGAATACTTGAAGTTACTGCGCATCAGTAGTTCTCACCGTGTAAATCCATTTCGGGATGTCTCATTCGCCCCATCAAAATATCGGGTCTACCGTCGAAATCACGATTGTTTAACATTTTTTTCACATTTTCACTGCCATTTATCACAATAGTAGGAAATGGTCCCAAATGCATGCCAAGCACCGATGTTTTGTAGAATTTACAAATACGATCAACTGCAAGATGTAGATGCTTATGATCTAACAGCAACATAAATATATAACTTCCAAAGTATGGCAATTTTGGAGGTCCTAAAAATGTCAAATTGGAAACATTGGTAATTCGAATTTTTTGCACTATTGACTGTTCTCAGCTGTACCCGGTGGAAAGTTATGAGGTCTTGAAAATAGATACACATAAATGTTATAAACCAGGATAAGAAAGCACACATTTATCAAAATAAATGATATCATTTTTCACTTTTTTCACAATAAAATTCAAGTTTAGCACTGAAACACAAATCGTAACGAACTGAAAGTTGTTTCGTTAAAGGAAATGACTTTTATACTGTTCAATTGACGTAAGCAATACGTATGTAATTTATATCGAAATTTAAAACATGTTCTTTTCTTGCCAGGTCATTTAGTAGGTGTATAGTCATAAAATCGTTTCGAATTAATTGTAATGGAATAATTTTAAAAACGAAAATCGAAAGTTTTTTGACACAATTGAAGGAAAATGTATGTAATTTTGCTCATTTAGAAGAATTTTATTACATGTTCACTTGAATTTGAACACCTGTAATATTACAGTTTCACTCTTTTTAACGACCACTACCTATATTTTAAATATTTGCTACTTTGTTTCAACAACAAGAATCTTGTTGAACAACACTAAAATCATTAAGTAATTATTCTGATGTGATCCAAATCATTGTGATTACTTGAAATCCATATCATACATGAGCACGGACGGTAAGTTAGGGCGAGGTTGTGTCTAACGCACAAGAAAAGATTGAAAAGAATTACTAAATAGTCACATTTATTATTATTTACGATTTTAGAGGCTCACCCCTGAACCCATTGACTAGTCAGCCTCAAATTGTATTATTTTGCACTCATCTAGCAAAAACAGGTACGTAATGATAAAGCATAGGGCGCTTGTATGCCTGGATCTAGTATATCTTTGTTTTTTCCTTTCCTCTAGTAAATTCAATTTTTAAATGTACATGTACATCTGAAGCAACTATTTAAATGCAAATTAATAAATAATGACATTGCAATAACTGTATTCAATAATATAAAGTCTAGAATCTTGTTGTCATTCCAGAAGTAACTGTTGTATCTGTATTACAATCTATAACGATTAGAAATGTTTTTTTCTGACTATTGTGAAGGGCCTTCAATGAAGGTACGCCCAAATATTGAATCATAACAAGTTATAATGCATCCGAAAAAATTGCAGTCGCTTAGTTTTAATTGGCGCCTTAAATAAATGATTTGTTGTGCATATGCTTTAAAAGCTTTTCACGTAATATGATTGCATTCCTTCAGGCGTGCATTTTTATATATTGTTTGGTGCTATGAATCTAATAATTGACATTTGGAAATAACGTATTTTATTTGCAAAAAAATTACACTATCATTTATAGTATCAATTTGTTTTTTGCCCTTGGTAAACTCCTTCATGTGGATTTCCCATGCACAAAATAATCTATTTATATTTTGCAACAAATGTCAAAGTTCATTTATATTCGAAGTATTTACACCAATAAATCGATGAGCATGACTCGTCTTTTTCAAACGGAATTCACAAAATTTCCCACAAATGCAAAAATTATCAAAAATTGTTGCTCCCCAAAATGTCGAATATGACATTGTCATAACATTGAAAATGGGCATTTCCTTAAATAAGCTCGATTATCTGGGTTTTTTCTTCTTCTTGGCAATCACTTCTCTTACTAGCAAAATTAAAATTGAAAAAAAGTTTGTCAAAATCACAAAAATAACAAAAAGTCAAAAATAGTTCAGAGAATTTCCGTGATTCGTATTCAACTGTTTGCTTCAATGTTCGCTATTCAATATTTATCACAATAACATCCATCAACAACAATAATATTATGTTAAATTTCTCAGAATCAACATAAAAATGCCAAAAGTGTCAAATTTAATCAACACTAAATTTCTTACTTCAAGTCAGTGCCTCCGTTTCGCGAACACGTTATCTAATCGGCGTTTGATTGATTTTTCTCGCTATAGACTATAAATGAAACCCGGTTTGGTATTAATGACATCGACCAATCATTCACACGAAGCAATGCCAAAAAATAATAATTCATTAGCGATAGAACAACGAATGGAAAAAGTTCTACCGAAAATTACAAACGAAATCGCCATTTGTATTTGCTTGAACGTGAGTTGATACCAGTTCTTGACAAGCACATAAACACATCTGTTGATAACTCGTTTTTTGTCATCCAGTACGGTCGTCTTTTGTATAAAATCATACGAGCACAGACATTTATCGTTATTCGTTCACTGACTGTGTCACTTTTAACTCAATTAAAACATCAAAAAACATTTGAGGATGCTGAATTCAGTGCAATTATTATTGTATTTTCTGATTTTATTTCTCTATTACATTAGCTTATCAAGTGCACGTAAGTAAAAATATTTTGCAAATCTCGCATCTTATCACATAGTTCAATTCTAGTCGTTGAATAAATAATTCAAAGTGTTGTGCATTTTATGTAACTTTCCAAACTAAAATATTTACTTTCTACACCCGTGAATTATTAATTTTTAGACATTGCTTTTAAATGAGACAATTTGATTTGATTTGATTTATTTTTAAGAAAAGTATTGAGACAACAGAGATTATAAAATGAATACAATCGGTATCTGCTGCTTCGAAGTCGAAAAGGCTGATGGCTGGATATTCGATCGGGTGTTTCATTGTGAATGATTTTGTAAATTTGTGTGATAAATTCTTTCTGTGATCAGACGGTGAATAGTAAAAATAAATTGGTGTAAATAATCAATCGTTGTCATTTAGAGTGTATTTCGAAAAAAAAAACCCAACCAAACGCCGATTAGATAATGTGTGCGCGAAACAGAGACACTGACTTGGAGCAAATTTGGTTTTGATATTTTATTAAAGTTTGACACTTTTGGCATTTTTATGTTGATTCTGAGAAATATAAAACAAAATTATTGTTGTAGATGTCAATGTGATCTTTAAAATGAGGTGCATTCAATTTTAATTTCGCTAGTCAGAGAAGTTATTATTATGACCTGATAAGTAATATGAACACCGTGATAAGTAATATGAATTTTATTAAATGTGTATTAAATCTTCATAGAATCGCTAGGTCAAAGTTGTCAAACGCCCGATCAAAAACAGGGTACTTGCATTGATTTGCACCAATGTCCTTCTCTCTTCGCCATTTATACAAGGAGACCTTTATCGACTGATGATCGGTCTTTTTTGCTTAGAAGTCAATGCGGCTCTCGTGGCCATTCACCTTTGGTAATACTAGCTAACAAAATTGACTTTAATGTATGTGAATGGATTCCAACCGTTTTTTATATACTGAAATGATTAAAGCTTTGCTGTGCACTTGCTATACAACCTACAACTCCATCACCACCTCGACCCGAAAACCATCAACAGTCACCAAATGTAAGGCTTGCAGACGAGCTTCTGCCGCCACCTGGAGTATGTGGACTGCAATATGAAGAACGAATCATCGGAGGCGAAGAAACCGGTTCTTTTTCAATTTGATTAATTTTTTATCTTTTTTTAATTTAATTTTATTGATTATTTATTTTAAATTGTTGGCTTTATTTGTTTTAGCTTTGAAGGAATTCCCTTGGACTGTCTTGCTCAAATACAGCACACGTATGTAAAAATGATTTTTTTGACGTCAACAGAACCAAGATTTTTATTAAAAGAATTTAATCTTTACAGCAAAAGGTGAAGCATTCAATTGCGGTGGTAGTCTTATTCACAAGGACTTCGTTATAACGGGTATATAATACTTTGACAAAGATTTTATTTGAAGTTCAACATTAATCTAAAACTATCGCATTTTAATTTAGCATGTCACTGTGTTGATGCAAAACATTTAAGAGATCGACGTTGGACTATACCAGGTTCGAAATCGAAACAATTTATATTTATATGGAAAGTTCACATACATAATTTTTGTTTGTTTTCTTTAAAGCCGTACGTCTAGGAGAATGGGATGTAACCACCAATCCTGACTGTGAAGAAGTTGATGATGATGAAAATAATGATGAAACTATTCCACGTTGTTCAGAACCTTATGTTGATATTCCCGTAGCCGAAATTATTCGCCATGAGCAATACCGTCCCAAGGTTAGATACGAAACAAATGATATTGCCTTGATTCGCCTGCAACAATCAGCTGTATTCACCGAGTAAATATATTTTTCACTTTTATTTATTTATTTTATTTACCTTTTTATTGCTTTTTTAGTTTTGTTAGACCCATCTGTTTACCCATAGCAATAGCAAATAAAAAGTATGATGATCTCTTACTAACAGCTGCCGGGTGGGGCGTTACTGAGGTACTTCAATGCAATCATATTTCAACCTGTTTCGCAAAAATATTTCAAGTTTAATTATTTGTTTGTATATTTTTTTCAGAGAGGTACCACCAGTCACGTTAAAATGAAAGTTGCTATTAAGGGAGTTCCTCTAAATCAATGCATTGCACAATATGGTAACTTATCAATTAAACAAATATGTGCTGGCGAAGATGATAAAGATGTGTGCAATGGTGATAGCGGAGGTCCCTTAATGATTCAGCATAGTGTTAGTCCGCTGCACGTGTATCATTACTTAACGGGTATTGTATCATTTGGTCCAGTACCATGTGCAAGAAAAGGATCGCCAGCCGTATACACAGTATGTTTTGTAATTTAGTCTATTTATTCGGGCATTTAATTGAACAATTATTTTCTATTTTTCATTTAAACAGAGAGTCGATCAATATATCGATTGGATATTATCCAAAATAAGCTGATAAAGCAGCCATAATCAAATCGCCGTACAGAGTTTACACATTTAATTTGATGAAATTCCACCTTGAACTGAATATTTCGACACAGACTTTGTAATTCAAAATGATTTTGAACTGGAAACAAAACATTACATTATTTATAAAAGATTCATTTAAATGGTTTTTATTGAAATAAAAATTTATGGCGACGGAACTTTTTTTTTGAAAATATCGAACGCTTTAAATAAATATGTGTGCAACAACTGTGCTTAATGTACCTGTAAATTGTACACCGCTTTTTTCTTGCAAATCGGTTCAATGAACTGCGACAATCCATATCTAGGGGTTACACACTGTCTATTAGACACAATCTCGAAAACTAAGAAAAATTAGGACTTATTAGGTCCTGTCAAATGTACACGTTATATGCAATCTATTTAAAAAAAAAAATAGGAAAAATTAGCAATATTAGAACTCGTGTTTCCCCCTAGGTTCAAATATTTTATTTACAAATATGATTCGTAAATATGTTCTCATGACAGTTAATAAATCCTGTTTTTGCAAATATATTCATACCAGGCGATATCAAAAAAATATTATGGGGTAATACCCCCCTCCCCCCCTGTCTGCCCAGCTATGTGCTGCACTCCTTACAATTATTGTGTTTTCTTTTCCTATTTCTCTGCTTGTTTGAGGGGAAAAGATACGTGCAGCGGTAAGCAACCGTTTAGTTAATACCATACATGGGTACAGTTGGAAAGTTAAGGGCGGTTTATCCGCCCATCGAAAACCCTAGCAAGTCGAAAGAATTTTTCCCTTGTCCAAAATTTTAGGAAATTAATTACCAAAAACAAATGTCTTATCGGGTTTCTCCAAAAACCCTAGGCTCAAAAGATAAAATCATGTTTGAAGATAGTTCATTTATTTGAAAATAATCTTCCAACATAAGTATGTATGTTCCTAAAGATGAAAAAGCAGCGAAAAACATTCAATACGTTTTTTTTTTTCATTATCTGTGTTTACTTTATAAAAACGTATATCTGATTACAAATTCGCTTAGATCTTTCAATCAAAACCAACTTTATTTCACTTCATTTTTCCTTTTGTTCTCATTTTTTCAAATGATGTAAATAAACCGATTTTTTTTCTTTTTCTTCATACAAAAATTCAACAAAGTTTTGCACAATTTATGTATAAAACACTTCAATCGCTCTATCAAATTTTCCTACTGCAATTCAATTTCTTAAAGATATTGTAATATACGCTAAATATAATATATATTGAATTTACTGCGAAGCCCCGAAATGCACACACGTAATTGAAACGTTAACAAGTATATGGTAGATAATACGTCAAGTGTCTCTAACGTGCTGTTACTTGAAGCCAGTGATCTGGTGTTGTGCGAATGGTGCCAGTTAAGTTTTCACTGAATTTATACGCTTTCACACCGTTCGGCATGCGAACACTGAATGCTTGCAAGAATGCTGTTGTGAATAAAAATAGCATATTCCGTGCAAATGTTTCGCCGGCACATAACTGTAAGCAAATATTTTATATGTATTCTTTTTTTTCAAAATTACATTTTAATATCCATACCCGTTTTCCTGCACCAAATGGCAATGAAATATCTTTGCTCAAACACAATTTGCCCGATGCATCCAAAAAACGTTCTGGCCAAAAATCATTCGGTCGTTCCCATACGCTAGTGTCGTGAAATGCTGCATCTAATGCCGGCAATATAATTGTACCCTTCGGAATGCTATAGCCCAAGAATTCAGTATCAACTAATGCTTTATGCGGCAAACCAGACGGCACCAGTGTCTCATAACGCATTATCTCACGAAGACAAGCTTCTGTGTATGGCATACTGTAAATAGAATTCACTTTTAAATTCACCATGCACCAATGAAATATGCATAGAAACCAAACACTTACTTAATGCGGTCATCTAAAGTGGGGAAACGACCTTGACCCACAACATGATCAATTTCCGCTTGAATTTTTTGCTGCACTTCGGACTCATGGCAAATTTGCTGAAATAAAAATGTGATCGTTGTCGACAAGGCAGACAGTGCTGGAAATGAAAAATCGATGCACGCCAATGTTAATTGATCGTCTAAAAAAATTTAACACAAAGAGAAAGTTAGATGAAATCTACAGTTGGTGCACGTGCAGCGCACATTCATGAATTAAATCCACTGAAAATGAAAAATATTACATGAAAAATGCGATTCTTTGTCGCCATTCAATTCAGCTTGTCGTATTTTATTTATGTACATGTCGATGAAGTGTCGCTCGTGCGTTTCATCGAACGTTTTTACTTGCTCGTTTATGAGATTCTGGAAGAAGAGAGAAAGTCATGCATGTCATTTATGAATGAAATATCAGACAACGAATTGGTAATATTTACTGTGAAATATGTGTACAATTCCACAGATGCATCTCTTGCAACAGTATAATCAGACATCACTGGAAAATATTTTGCAACTTCCTCAATCAAACTGTATAAGCGTCCGTAGTTATCGGTTTTGCGTTGAAATATAAACGCATTATCCACAGCTCTGAAAACATTTTTAAAACAAACACACTTGAATTATAGAAGGCCAAATTCATAAGTGTAAATCGATGCATACGTATAGAGGTCGGCCATGTCTTCTCGTGCAATTGGTTCGTTCAGCAAACAAGTTATAAAACAATTTCCAAAAGTTGGCCCAAATGCCATTGGTAGCAACACTTTTCCATCTTTGAAGTATTTCTATAGACAAATTTCATGATTTTATTTTCAGAAATGATTTTTCTTCTATCGGATTTGTATCGTATCAATTATTTTTTTTTGATAATTATTTTGACCGAATAAGTGTCACTTACATTCTCATGCGGATATTTTGGTCCGTTTTTAATGATATCCAAATATTGAGCTATTTGAATTTCAATTTCTTTTTCCAATAAATCATAACGTCGACCAAATCCAAAATCTCGCAGATACCGAAGTGTGTATCGTCGCTGTTCATGCCAAATATCGCCTTCCGTGAAAAAAATGCCTGTTTTTGTACGATTTTTATATTAAATTTTATAGTAAACTTTCACTTTTAATGTTGAACGATTTTTATTGCACTTAATCCGATCACATTCACCCACCACGTAAATCCAAATTTGGATGTCTCAGCCGGCCCATCAAGATATCTGGACGCCCATCAAAATCGCGATGAAACAATGCCTTTTTCACATTTTCCGAATCGTTCAAGACGATACACGGCCACTCGCCCAAATAAAATCCAATAACAGTGGTTTTGTAAAATTTACAAATTCGATTAACGGCACGATGCAAATGGTTGTAGTTCAACAGCAACATGAAAATGTAGCCACCAAAAAATGGCACATTTGGGGGTCCTGGAATTGATTTAAAACAAAATATTTGCCGAAATTGTTCGCAGAAAGTCGTGAGTTTTTGTATTTACCAGGCGGAAAATTAACAGGTTTTGAAAAGAGATACACATAAATACTATAAATGAATATAATAAAACAAGCGATTAACAAAATGAATGAAATCATTTTGATTTCGAGTTTCACTTTTTATTTGGTTCAAATTAATTTAAAATGCAGTTTCGCACTCAAACACAAACTGATGCAGACTGAATTACATTACGGAGAAATACGCACTTCTTATACGTATCGCGCCGCTACTTGAAAACAAAATGCAAACTGGTTTTATTGATACCGCCTCTCAATGATAATTTTGCGATTTTTTTGTTTTTTTCACCAAAATGTCGATCAACAACAAATGTGTAAACCACTTGAAGTGTGAAAAAGATAGCACTTTTTTTGTTTTACTGAAACTTTCGCCGTTGACGTAATTCAGAATCATTTTTTTAATACAAAAACATTACGTTTGTCTGTAGGTTGTCACTTGAGCGGTTCAAATCTAGTGATATTTTATTACTTTCTGTGTTCTATAATTCAATTAAAATTGGCATTGTCATGATTCAGTAAACAAAGTCAAGCAAATCCAAACAAATATCAATTTGTCAAGGTGCATTCGAACGCAAACATAAGTGTCGTCTTCAAAAAAGATTCATTAAAGAATAAATACGACATATTTGAATGAAGCTTTAGATGATTGAAAATATCAGTCTAGCCAAGGGCTAGTAACGTAATGATAACGTCAATTCGTTTATAAATGGCATAGATTGATTTTACATTCAAAATAAAATGCAGCCTGATTCCGTCATTTATGAAATTATCTCAATTCTCTTTGATACTCTTTGACTTGTTATTTAATATTAAACTATATTTACTTGTTACTTTATTTATCTATGGCCTCTTCACTATATATTAATATTTTCAAACAATTAGTATGAAATTGTTTGACTACTGTATCTTCCCTTCTATCCTATTTAATTAATATATTTTCTACGAAGTTTTCTCAAAGTACGAACCATTACTATAAAAATCAAGAAGTTAACCTCGTCTATCGCAACGGAAATGCATTTTGTTGTATAGTTCACACAAATTGCGAATTCTGAATTATTCACTTGACGAAGATTTAATTCAATCAATCTAAATTAGGTTTAAAACAAATTGATGAATAAGAAAGTTTAACTATATACAACGCAATTAACAAGTTTTAGAGGATATAATTGCTCAAAGTTGAATATTCTCTACCGATACATGGTTCACCCATATCGATACTCGACGTTCAACGAGCGACGAAAAAGAATAAATAACGAGAAAGTATGTAAAGTGATTCTTCGACATAACTTTAAACGAAGCATTTTATTTGAAACAAAAACAGTAAATACGGTAATTAAAAGTACCGCAAATATTTCGAGAGCCATTTAATGAAATTGATGTCAACAATACACACTCGATTGATTATTATTTAATAAATAAATGACAGAATTGATTCTTCCGAAAATTGCAATTCATTCAAGTATCTATTATTCAATCTCTATGTCAATCTATTCTGTTCCCAAAATCTATGAACTATGGACTATTATACATTTTTGATGCTACTGCAACTTCTGTAAAAGTGTGTACTGTGTTCCTGTTAAATATTCACAGAGTTTTACTATAGCTGGCACGAGAGCCAGTTGGTAGTTGTAAGTAAAAGAAGATTGATTTTGTGCAAATAAAATTCTTGCACGTTTCTTATCTCACTGTTTTATTGCTCTCATCGGGTCATTGGCATGAGCGACACAGTTTTATGTATGCAAATATATATATATATGCCGAATGCCGACAACGATTTCAAACAACCACTAATTTGTATGGTGTTGTGTTTAATTGGCGAAAGATCCTGTTTTTTGGACAATAATATTTAGAAATAAAATGTCTTACATCCGTAAGATGAACTTTTCCGCACTGTGATCCACAACATGCATTTATTACATATCTTTTACTTAAATTTGAAATCACGAAAAGACTGGATCTGACATTAGTTTTTGCGATAGAAATCATTTTTGACACACTTTTCATAGAAAATTACTAAAAATGGAAATTTTTGTATGGAATCAATGCCTCTATGATATCGTAACGACGTGAAACTTTGCACAAGCTATTTTTTTTACATTTTCATTCTGAAAGTTTGAAAAAATTTCAATACAATTTAAGGGTGCCTTCTATACAAAATGTTCGTTTTTGAGCGAAAAATCCAAAATTTTGTTCGAGAGGTACCCCTAATATGCATTGAAATTTCTTCAAACTCTCAAAATGTTATTTTTTCGTGATAAAAATAACATGTGCAAAGTTTCAGCTCATTACGATATCATTAAGGCATGGATTCCATACAAAAATCCAATTTTTTTTTTAATTTTTGTATGAAAAGTGTGTCGAAAATTATTTGTATCGTGAAACTAGTATCATATTCGGTTCTTCGTACCAAAAAACCCCCAATACATATTTTTGAGTGTTTAAGTGCACTTAAAGTATGACTTTTGGAAGAAAAATTTAATTTTTCCCATGGGTATCACATCAGACATGACTCTATCAACCAAAGTCGCTCAAAATCTAATGGTTCCTATTCCTCGGCACCCCCAATCATCCTGTGAAGTCAGATTTTGAATTACTTTTCTTGTTTGAAAGTTATCGTGTTAACAAATTTTTGCGTACAGTGTACAGGGTACGCACATACATTCGGACATCGAAAAAACGTTAGATTCGTGTTTCCTGGCCCCGAAAACACACAGAAAACACGTTTTTGATGGGTGTTAATTTTTCGACCGATTCCAATACTTTACCTTACATACTAGGTGTGTGCGGAAAAGTAAAAAATATTCAATTTTGTTAATTCAATATTATATAGTATATAGTACCAAATATACTGCATTCCACAGTGGCGTACGAATAAAAAAATTGACTCCGGCCAGAATTGAACAGGCGACCTTCTGTGTGTTAGACAGACGTGATAACCACTACACCACGGAGTCATCTGACGTAAGCACGCCCCGAAATGTTGGTTCGGTACAGGAACACATTATGAGTTCCTTATTTCTTCTCTTCTTTTTTTCACTCCAATTTTTTCGTGCCTTCCTTATATAATACAATGATAATATTATTGCTGTGATATTTGTAAAATTTATAACATTTACGCAGTGATTTTTCGCAGCTTTATGGTATATTGTTAATACTTTTTATGCGATTGAACTGTTGTATCAAAAATTCCATTTTTAAAAATTGATAATCATATTCCTGTCACTTGATGTACCTTATCTTTATAAATGAATATCACTTTATTTATTTGGATACAAATTAACAATTCATCTTTAAAACCAGTTATAAACAAAATCTGGTTTTCGCGATGATTCTTTGTAGTGCTTGAACAGTAAAACAAAAACACTTAGAAATAAAACTTTATAGCAAATACACGCAAAAGTGTACATGAGGTCAAAAATTATTCATCCAAATTAAATTATATTCGTGTTTGTTTGAATGCTGAAAACGTGTGAAAGTGTGCACGAACGCGGGGATTGAATTTATTTATTATACTTAATACTAAGCATTTAACAACAGTTAAACACGTTTTCAGCTACTTTTAATACCACATATTAACTGATCAAAATGTTTTTGGGATAGTAAATAAAGAAGTTTGAGATTAATTTGCAAATAACCATAAAAACATAATGTTTTAAGATAAGGGTTTGGAACTTATATTAGTTTAGTAAATTTTAAATTCGATAAATACCGTAAATGTACGGGCAAATCTTCAGTAAAATGTACGGGCAAAATTTTCGGTTGATTGAGAACATTAGCGTTTCTCTTGAACCTTTTTTTTTGTAAATCGAATAAAAGTCCCTTAAAATGAAAATTTGCTTAAGTTTACTTGTTGTATTTTTTGTTTCTGGTTCGTATAAATTAGAAAAGTTTAAATGTAAAATTGCCCGCAATCAAAATGGACGTAACTTAAGATGTGTGGAGTACTTCAAAATCAATGACAAGAACTTCAAAATCAATCCATCAGTACCAATCAACCAAATGTGCAAAATGTCAAATAAGGTCCACGAACTATTTTCAACGCAATCAAAACGATCAACTTTCAAAACTCGACTTTTAGCCTTAAGCGATGACCATTTTTCTAACTTGTCATTGGTGTCTAACTATAACACTGTTTTCTTTAACGATCTAATGTGATACATTGTGATTTTTGTAAAGATGTAAATTATTTATTTATCCAATTATTTATTTAATTATTTATTTATTAATTATTTTCTGACTCATTGTAACCGCGTGCAATTTGAAAATGTTTAGTATTTATAAGTGTTTTTTGCTGTTTGACGGTAATTTGAACAGTTTACTATTAACTATTTAGCTATTACTGTAAGAAGTAGCTAATTAGTTATTAGAAATCTTTATTGAAAGATGTGGTTTTTAACGGTGATCAGATGTATACCAAATGTGTATCATTGATTCATACCTTTTTCCCACCAAACAAATGTATAAAAATTATGTACAAACTCAAAAGATTCAGCCAGTTTTGGCGGTGAATAAATATTATTATTATTATTATATATGATGAATAGGACGTGAATATTGTGTATAAATTTATATGAACGACTGATGGAAGCCCCTGAGCAATGGAAAGAAAGTTCACTATGCAAATTGGCATAACGGCACCGATTATAGCAATCCAGATAATTTTACTGGTAGACAATATTGTATTCAGTTGTGGGCAAGTCGTGGTTTACGGTGGGATGACACCGAGTGTGAAGCTGAGAAGTATATGGTTTGTGAAAAAGATCATGAATGAATTCCTGGATTGCAATTTTTTTTTTGAAAAAAAAAGTGCATAATAAAATGAAATAATGTATTTAGAAACAGTTTTTGAATAAAATGTTTAGTTGAAAGAACTTTCTTAAAACCACTTGGTCATATGAGTGTTGTCGTACTTTTTTCTCATTAACAAATATAAGTGATCAGTGACTCTTTTAGTTTTTCTGCAATCTTTTACGGAATTATCATTGTTAGTCAACAAACATATGCTTCTAGATAGCAAAAATTGCGAATCTTTTATCATGCTCGACAAATAAAAATAGCTATTCATTTATTTAGATTATTTATTTTATTGTGTCAATTAAATATTATCGAAATAGATAATGGGGAATGTCAATTATCCATTGAAAATTATCTTGTCAAATAAGTATTGTAATTCATTGAATAAACGATTCATCAATCCTGCGCAACTATGTAATAAGTGAATTCTCTTCATTATTAATAGTACACCTCAAATATATTTCGATTTATTCGCACAGTTTTCAAATTGAAAATATACCAATGTGAACTTACATAATATTTTGAACAAAAAAGTGGAAAAAAAAACAATTTAGAACTTGTTATATATATACAAGCCAGAGCATCGAATGTGCTTTCGTCAGTGGACTCCGTGGTGTAGTGGTTATCACGTCTGTCTAACACACAGAAGGTCGCCTGTTCAATTCTGGCCGGAGTCAATTTTTTTTATTTCTCAATTTAAATCCGTGTATTACATTCCAAATCATATCCTTTTTGTAGTATTTGTATTTTTTCAACAAACCTCTTGCGGACGCCTCTGGCCGTGTTCAAATAAAGTTCAGGATCTCATTGAAGATGATCATTGAAATATTAAAGGTTTTTAATCCCCCTCTCAGATACCCACTCCTCAATTTTTTTTTTGGAACGTGAGAACCTATGATAGCAATGAATTTTGAATACTGAAAGCTTTTTCATTTTTTGCTTGTTCGCCTGAATTTATACAATAATTCTTAGTTTGCCAAAAGTGGTTTTGCTTGTTCTATATATTTTTAAAATATATACAAAGAGAAGTTTAATGGCATTTCATTGTTGAACGACCTTCAAATGTATCTTTAATATTTCCGATTTGATAAATAAATCGATTGATTTCTTTTTTAAGTAAGAGAGTAGCCTTAATTACCAATTAATTAATCGTTGGAATCGATTCATTGATATTTCGCTTGAGACTCGAGCTTGAACTGTGTTGTGAATGCTGAAGTCCAGTTTTAATATAGTATTGAAATCAGTCTCTTACGAAATCATTTTATTAAGATGAATTGATTTTTTATTTCCATTCATCGTTGTTGTGTTTACTCAATGCACTTTATCACATGGCATCTAATCATTTATTGTTTGCCACTTTGAATGTACACAAATTAATGGCAATTTTTTTCTCAATTGACTTCTTACAGCTGTTATCAGTTTCAATTAGACGTGAATACAATATACTCGTTTACATTCCACGTGATGAATCACATGTCAAATTAGTGCCAAGAACTTTTTTGTTTGCATAGTATCAGACTGGGCACTATCAGTTAGTATAAATGCAAGCACAGATCAGCAAAAATACTCAACCCACAAGCGTTGAAGTTCAATTATTGTCCATTTAATGCGCATTAAAACTTTATCCATCTGAGACTTATATTCAGATGGCCATAAAAAGTGGTTTTTTATATATCCATACCAAGTACTTACTATACACAAGTTTTCCATTTTCTCCGATAATATTGCGGTAATGATAATGTGACCAAGTTTTTTCTTTCATTTCCATCGTATTATCTTTAATCAAAACAGATTTGATTCTTATGAAGCGAACGTGGTTGAAATGAGTTTAAGAGAGTAATTAAAACAGTTATCGATGCGAGTAATCTCATTAAAATTACATGATTTCAATAAGTTTTATCAAGTTCTGTATTTGCCATAGCTGGTGTGCATCTAACCAAAAGTAAAATGACTTAAATCAATTGTCTGTTATGCAAAACATGTTCTAAATCCTTGTCGGGGTCATTTACATGTTCAAATCAAACCGAGAGCCCGTCAATTGGAATGTTTTTTCGAACGATTGCTCCAAGTCTTCGATAAGATCGTCAACATTTTCCAGGCCAACCGAAAGTCGAATGGTAGTATCGAAAATACCCAATTGTTCTCGCACATCTTTCGGTACATCAATGTGACTTGCATATGCACTAAAATCAAATGACACGTAAGCACAATTTTCGTAACTTTAATGATTGAAACTCACGGTATAACAGCAAAAGATGTGCACGTTCCAAGACTGTCTGACGAGAGAAAAACTTTTAAATTTTGAATAAACTTCGTTGCTTCATTTATCGTTCCGCTTAATTGAACTATAACCATGCCAGTATGTCCCGAACTTTGTCTCTTCGCCAATTCATGTTGTGGATGCGATTTCAATGCCGGATGTATAACTTTCACAACTTTTGGATGTTTTTCCAAGTAATGAGCAATCGCTGTACTATTCTCACCATGTTTCTGCATTCGCAACGATAATGTCTTAATGCCACGGTTTACCAAATAACAATCAAACGGTGAACACGTCAAACCGTATTTGACCTGAATCAGTTTCAATTTTTCGTAAATGTTCGAGTCATTAACAACTAATGCACCAGCCAAAACATCGTTGTGACCGTTCATGTATTTCGTTAGTGAATACATTACGATATCGGCACCAAGTTCAATCGGACGTTGAAAATATGGCGTCATTATTGTGTTGTCAACAATAAAAATGATATCGTTATGCAAACGAACCAATTTTGCAATTGCAGAAATGTCGGAAATTTTCAAGCACGGATTCGACGGCGTTTCCAACCAAATGAGCTGCAATTTAAACAACAAATAAAACATTTCAATCCAGTAAAATCTGTATAAAACAAAAACAAGTCTTTTTACCCGTGTATTTGGTTTGATGGCAGATTCAAAAAGTTTGACATCAGTTGAATCAACAAAATCAACTTCGATTCCGAGATTTTCTGCTTGCGTCATGAAAATCGTACGAGTACCACCGTACGTCTCGGAACACGATAAAATATGGTCGCCGGTTTTTAGCAATTGCATCACAGCCGTTGTTGCACCACATCCGGATGGAAATACCAAACCATATTGAGCATTGTCCAATGCAGCCAAACAACGCGATAATGAATCACGAGTCGGATTACCATCACGACCATAACAATATCCCTAAAAATAACACGTTTTTCTTTTTTAAATAGAATGAAGTAGAAAATCACAGTTTGATGATTTTATTACTGCGAAAATATTTGTGGGATCTTTTTGATAGTATGTAACTGAAGTCACAATTGGCGGAACAGTTTCCTGATTACTCCATTGGTCGTATTCTTGACCACCGTGGATTGATTTGGTTTCGAAGCGATGTTTTTCACACATTTTTGATAATAATTCTATGGAAACGATAGAAATACACGGTTGTACCTCTACTGAAGTCCCTTAACTAAATGAAATCAATTTGATAGTATCAGCCCCATTTATAGCATTGAAATCACATGTTTCGTTCGTTTTTATTTTTTGAAAACTATTCAATATAGTGTATTTATATTGCCACGATAAGGTTATTGCAATCTCGTGCTTATCATTTTTTCAATTTTTAATGACAACGCATGGCAAATACACTATTTTGGGTTCAATTGAGAAACAAAAATTGCCTTCGTAATTTGAAAATTTATTTATTTTTTTAACATTTTGAAATTGATCAAAGTGATATGTTTACTGGGATGTTTTTTCAAATGATTGCTCCAAATCTTTGATAAGATCTTCAATATTTTCCAAACCAATCGAAAGCCGAATAGTTTCATCGAAAATGCCGAGCTTTTCGCGCAAATCTCTTGGCATAGTAGTATGGCTCACGCACACCCTAAAAAATATTCAATCTCATTATTCATTCAAAGATATTTCCAAATTATGTTAAAAAATGTCCTTACGGAATCGTAGCAAAACTAGAGTAGCTGCCAAAACTGGCCGCTGATGAAATTACTCGAAGATTTTGAATAAAATTCTTTGCATCCTCTTGAGTACCAGCTATACGAAAAGCGAGCATACCAGAATGGCCGGTACTTTGTTTCTTTGATAGTTCATAATGTGGATGCGATGGCAGACCTGGATGATCTACATGTAATACCTTTGGATGTGCTTCCAAATACTGAGCCACTGCAATGCCATTTTCACAGTGTTTTCGCATTCGAAGTGCCAATGTTTTTAATCCACGATTCACCAAATAACAATCAAATGGTGGCAAAACTGAACCATAGGTTGCTTGTGATATTTGTAATCGCGGTAACAGTTCCGAATCGTTGAACATTAATGCACCGGCCGTTACACCGCCATTCATGTACTTTGTAACAGAATACATTGATATATCTGCACCCAAGTCTAATGGACGCTGAAATAATGGAGTCAAATATGTATTATCAACGGCCAAAATAACTCCATCACAAGAGCGAGCTGCTTTCACTACGGCAGCAATGTCCGTTATCTTCAAGCATGGATTCGATGGTGATTCAATGAAAATCAACTGAAATTAAAAGAGATTGTTATTGTACCTGGTTATATAAAGTGGAGAAAGAAATATTCACCTTTGTATTTGGTTTAATTGCACTTTCAAATAATTTGATGTCGGTCGAATCAACGACGTCCATTTCAATTCTATTCATTTTGACATAGTTCTGAAAACACAAGATGGTGCCACCATATTTCTCACTGCATGTTAAAATGTGATCACCTGGCTCTAATAAATGCAATATTGCTGTAATTGCAGCCATTCCAGACGGAAACACCATTGCATGCTTTGACTCTTCCAATGCGGCCAAACAACGCTCCAATGAATCACGAGTTGGATTACCCAGGCGACTATATAACTTACCCTTAAATAAATCAAATTCCATTTAATGAATTTCAAAAGGTACAAAGAGACACTCACTTCCATTTTCGCTGGATTCCATTGATAGTATGTAACAGATGTTACAATTGGTGGAACACTCTCCAAATTGCTCCATTGGTCGTTTTCTTGTCCGGCATGAATAGCTCTCGTGTCAAAACCAAAATTTGTTTTGTTACTGTTAAATTCAGACATATTGTTCAATTTTATTTGGATAAAACTACGACGTTTTATATTCACATTCAATCGATTCGCTCGCACACGATTGCTTATTTGACTCTCACAAAACAGCATTTAAAAGAAAATAGAATATAGATCAATATATAATGAGTCCCAACTTCTTCCTTACACTGATAAGATAAATTAATATAATAATTATTTTGTTGTATTTTATGAGATTGAACATGAACCTCGGTGTGATTCTTATATAATATATATCTATTGTAATCGATCTATCAGCTCTCAACTCTTTACAACAAATATTGCACATTTTCTTTATTAAAGAGTGCTTATCAAAAAGAAAATACAAATAAAAAACCATAAATTGTTGAATTTTAATCTTTAATTCGATTTTTTGATAACAGTTTTCATTTATTTCGTTATACCATAATCTTCTTTAATCATTTCAGCGCCTTTTTCGCCTACCATCATCGATACGGCATTTGTATTAGCATTTATAGGTACCGGTATACTGAAAATGAATGTAAATTAGCATGTATTTTCAGATATGATTGCTATAGAATAAAAACAGCGTATGAAAAGGTTGCATTTCAAAGCGAAACACCGTCATACAAAATACAGCAAAAAATGTATGTAAAAACAACCTATGGTGTGCGACCGTATCATACGTTGTATTTATTCTAGAGGATTCATATTTTCATTTGTCCGATAACTTACACTCCGGCATCAATTTGTCTCAATTTTTGAACATTATGAACTTTGCATCGTGGATCAACGACAGAGGTTGAGTCAGTTCCCATTTTACTAGTGCCAACTTGATGTTGACCTCGAAGGCTGGTATAATTCATCATACACTCCCAATAAAGATCCGACGAAAACTCGATTTCATCACATTCTTCAATTGGAATTCGAATATATTTTGGTTCGAGCTTTTTAAATGGTTCTGTCTTAAGTAAATTCACTTGTTGTTTTATTGCTCGTAATATCTTTGCTCTGTCACGTGGATCACTCAAATGGTTTGTATGAATTATTGGACTTTCGCATGTGACACACTCATCCAGTTCGATTTTACCACGCCCCTTCGGTTTATTTAATGATATGACAATAAAAAGTACGTCATTCTCTTGCAATAGTTCTTTTTTACTCTTCAAAGGTGTATTAATATTACTGATACTTGATGAAGTTCCACGTGGCAACGGAATGTAATATAATTGAATATCAGGCGACCCAGTACCGTTTGTTATGTCAGTGCGTCCAGATAAAAACAAAACTGGAGTACTGCGCGATTCGGAATTTTGTGATATTGGTGATGCCAAACTACTAAAATTCACTGCATAATTCAAAAATACGAATACGTGATCGATATAATTTTTTCCAACCGGTAAGTCCACTTTGCAAGACACGTTTCTCTCTTCCAAATGACTTCTTGGTCCAATACCTGAACGCATCAAGAGAGTAGGACTTTGAATCGCACCAGCTGAAACAATTACTTCTTTCTCAGCGAAAGCTTGCATTTTGTGTTTTCCTTTGTATGTAAATTCCACACCATACGCTTCATTTTTACTATTCAAAAGGATTTTGTCCACAAAAGCATTTTTGATGATGTGCAAATTCTTACGATTCTTTGCTGGTGCTAAGAATGCTTTTGCTGTACTACTTCGATGCCCTTCAGCACTTGTTGATTGCAACAAGGTAAATCCGGTCTCTTTGTCGGCATTCAAATCAGAAACATAGTCGAAACCATTTTTTACTAAGGCATCAATCACTGCTTCATGATATTCGGATGCAGTACCGGATGAAATCTTCACTGGACCGTTTGCATTATGATAGCGCTCATTCTGATATGCAACTATAGTTTCGTTTTGATTGCCTTCGGATTTTTTGAAGTACGGTAAAACACTTTCGTAATCCCAACCAATATTACCAAGGTCAGCCCATTCATTGAAATCTTCTTTAGTTCCACGAAAATAGATCATGTAATTCATTGAAGAACTACCACCAAGCATTTTTCCTGTTTTTTTTATAATTTTAGTCATTGTAATCAGTCGAAATGAATCAATCATTGTGGCTTAATAAATATCTATACTAGAATCCATTAAAAAATGGTACGATAGTATTTAATGTAGTATTTAATAGTCATGAAGAATGACGTCATGGCTTAGTAAAATTAGTTGACTGATAACGGCTCAGTACAAAATTATTTTAAAGTTCAAGGAAAACAAAAATAAAAGAAATTATTAATTCGGAAAAAAAATATTTTACCTCTTGGTAAGGTGCACTCTGGACGAAATTTTGATTTACAAACGAGTGAAGAATTATCATAAAATTTCCAATCGACTTGACTTCTCATCATGGCGAAAAATTCTCCAGGTATCTACATATATGTGCCACAAAATAATAATTTGATTAAACTATCTATAGAAAATACTTTTGCAAATAATGACTAAACACGACAAAACAAATAGTGAGTGGTTGTTTTTTTACGTAAGCTTTTTAGCCGAAGAAAAAAAAAATTATTTTAAGGCAAGATTATGCTTATGTTAATTTGAGATTTTTCGTATACGTAAATTAAACGCTGAAAAATAAGAATAAAGTTTACATCAGATTCAATTGGTGGATCACCGCCAGCTTCAAGCAACAAAACTGTCCAATTCTTCACTTCACTCAATCGACTTGCGACTATGGCTCCAGCAGAACCAGAACCAACAACGATGAAGCTATATTTCTGTAAACCTTGAAAAGTTGAAAGTAGCTTATAGTAGACTTAGTTAGTAAAATATTGATAGATTGGACTTTTTCTTTCAAAATTTCGATTAAGCAAATAAGCTTTCTAATTTTCAAGAATTATAGTTTTGAAAAATACCTTCTTTCAATGCGATTTCTCCATAGTCTTCTGGCCACATTTGAGAAGATAGTACAGAACATGGTATGGCCATGAACACTTGTATCAGTGTTAAAAATATTTGCACTCCAGAATTAGCACTCTTGGCATAACAAAGCTGTTGTATTAAATCCAACATTTTCACTATTTTTACTTCCCTAACTCTGTTTCAAATCAAATCTTCAACTCCAATTTAAAAAAATAGGAAGTTGAATAATTTTTTACTCGTTTATTTCTTTTTTATATATACATTGCCCAACATTTTTTGATTGAATTATTAGATAAGATTTCATTATATATTCAGAGAAAATGTGACCATAAATGTACAAAGGGGGATTTACCCAGTACTAAATTAAATTTGGCTTTATGTGATTCAATGTTGTGTTAGTGAGTATATATACTCGTAAAACTTTTTTCTTCATTTCCATGAAATAATCGTAGAAAACTGTAAAATCTATGTACACGAAACAGTCTCGTGACTTAAAACCAAGTAAAGATATTAATGGATTTAGTGATTCTGTAAATTAAAAGCTTATTTCTTATCGTTTTTTTATCGTGTATGACGTTGATTATAACGTTTTATTACTTCTAGCTTTTTATATATCATAACTAAAAAAACCATACAAGAGAATATTCTTCATAGCTTTGACTAGTATATACAATTCACTTGCTAGTATAAAATGCAATAATCCAATACTATTTTAAAATATACATTAACTTTTAGTGACAGTGCATTGCCAATATGGTTTTTTGGTGGTGTCGCTTTCAAATACTTTTTTAAATAAGAATGCACAACTTTCCCCACTTCCATTGATCTCGATACATCAGATTGGAATAGATTAATGCTTCGGTTGACTTAACATTTCTTCTGTGTGTTTTGACTTTTAATGTAAACCTTGAAAATAGAGTCATTAAAAAGTACCTATTTTCATTGAAGTGTATTTCGGCTTACCAAAGAACATTGCACTTGTGTCAAGTCTTCAACGAGATCTTCAACATCTTCCAAACCGACCGAAAGACTTATTAAAGAGTCGCTAATACCTAAGACATTCCGTTCAACTTCAGACATCTTAGCGTGAGTGCCAGACATTAGGTTTGAGCTATAGATATAGCGGCTGCTATTTCATAGCTGCTATTCATAGGCGCTATTTATCTCGTTTTAATGCATTTATGCATATTGTGCGTTATTTTCTACATCTCTCTCGTACTCACATTCAAATGTACAAAAGAATAGTAGGCTATGATAGGCCTACTCGGTGTTACACACAGCACATGAATTAAATAGCGCCTATGAATAGCACCTATAAAATAGCAGCCGCTATATGCATAGCTCGAGCCTAATGTCTGCGTGAGTCATAAGGGATTTAAGGAAAACATATTTTAATTACAAAGTGGTATCGAAAAATAACACATTTTAAGTAATTGTATTCAAAACTAACGGTAACTTACTATTAGTAAGTTACTAAGACTTTCACATCCCCCAAAGCTCTCGGCCAAAGTGAATAGCTTGAGAGATTGTAAGAATTCGATCGATTCTTCCATGTCACCTTAAATGTTAAATGACATAATGCCACTGTGACCGTATGTCTGCTTCAGCATCAATTCGTGTTGCGGATGTGATGGAAGTCCGGGATGTAACACCCGCTCAATCTTTGGATGAGACTCCAGAAACTGGGCTACAACCAATGACGATTTCCAATGTTGTTCCATCCTTAATTTCAATGTTTTGGCACAACTACACTTTACTGAACTTTTGAATTACAGCAAATTCATTCTCATTTTTGTATGCTATGAGTAGCTGGTAGTGAGTATATACTATATCAGTGGTGCGATTTTCAAAATTCCCGCTAGGGGGCGTTTTTCACGGGGAGGTTCAAAAATACTCCGGAGGGCACACCTCCCATACCATGGGGGGTAGGGCACCCCTCTTGGGTCAATATTG